GAAACATCCAAGAATTATTCAAGGTGGCAGCGGGAGCAATGGGAGCTCTGGGGAAGGATATGTGCTGGACACGTAACTTTAAGAGTGATCGTGGTTAAGTGAAACTGGGCTACAAAGGAGAAAGAATAGAAGGCTGAGCTCATATTCAGTAAACTGTTGTCAACAATCCCTGATCAGCCTTGTGGTGTGTGGGTGTGTGGGTGTGTGGGTGGGTGGGTGTGTAAAATGGAATATTACTCAGCCATCGAAAAGAATGAAATCTTGCCATTTGCCATGACATGGATGGAACTAGAGGGCATTATGCTAAGTGAAATAAGTCAGAGAAAGACAAACACCATTTGATTTCACTCCTATGTGGAATTTAAGAAACAAAACATGAACATAGGGGAAGGGAAAAAAAAAATAAAATAAGATAAAAATAGAGAGGGAGGCAAATCATAAGAGACTCAACTATAGGAAACAAACTGAGGGTTGCTAGAGGGGAGGTGGATGGAGGGATGGGGTAACTGGGTGATAGGCATTAAGGAGGGCACTTGATATAATGAGCACTGGGTGTTATATGCAACTGAGGAACCCCTAAATTCTACCCCTGAAACTAATAATACAGTATATGTTAGCTAAATAGAATTTAAATAAATTTTTTTTAAATCCCTGATCATCTTTACATGAGCTAAGCACCTTCCTCTCCTCGCTATCTTTATTTTTTTCTGTGTAAGTTAGGACCTCATTATGACACACACACAGTCTTATTAGAAAGTTAAAGTTGTGTCCTGGAAACTTCTTAATGTGAAATCTTTCTATTGTATAATGAGTGTATGAAGATGGGAGACCATCCCTCAAACTCCATCTTTAAAGGGTGTTGTTGTTGTTATCAAAATACTTAAGAGTGTGAGGTTTTACAACCCATCTTGGTAAACCTCAGTTACCTAGAATCACTTTTCTATCTAGCAATTCACCTCTTCTACTCGTTAGGAGGATATTGAAATTTAAATTTAGCTATCACATATTGTTATAAAGTTTATTAACCTCTAATTTTCTGATTCCCTAGGCTTTTCCTTACCTGACCTTGCTATTTCTTTGTAGAGTCATAGCTCATCAGGGCTAGAGAGCTTTTATTGAAGTCCCCTTATTTTCCAAATGAAGAAAATGAGACCTAAAGGAATTGATGGGTTGGGCTGCATGGTAAGTTGGTGGCAGAGCTAGGCATCACCCTCCCAGCTTCCAGCCCTAAGCTCAGCTTAGAAGTACATGCTTCTTCCCTTAACCATGACTTTAAATTTCTCTTCTCAGAACGCTGGAGCTTTCTACTTTAAAGTTTAAAAGAAACTCGTTCACGGCACATTAGGCTCCCCCGAGTGGAAATATTGCACTTGTTTTTCCTTTGAAGTCTTACTGGGGAAAGTACTACTTAAAGAGAAACTTATTCTACAGGTGTACCAGAGCAGTTGTGGGTGTTATCTCTCTTCTCTTCTAAATTAATGGCGGCAGAAGATCTGGTGCACTTGTCCTATGCTTCTTTCTTCCCGCCATAAACCACTTTAATTGTATGCACATCATCTACTTCAAGAGAACCTGACACTTGTTCTAGACACACCCCATTCTCTTCAGTCTAACCCCAAGGCCCCCCTCCAAATGGGAGGATCCATAATTCAATGGTAGCAGGGCACTAACAGGCAAGTGCAAAGCTAAAGGGATGAGGAGAGCAAGGGTCTCCTATGACCTCTTTAAAACTTTTTTGTCAGCTACTCACATGCATTTAATGTGTAACACTTCGCTTTTGACTTTGTGTCTGCCTCCTTTCCTACCAACAATTTCTCCTAATTGTTCCATTCTTCTAGAACACTACAGCCTGTTATAACACCTTTACCTTCATCTCTAAAGTGTTCTTAAACACTAATTAGATCCTTAAAGAACAGAAAGGAAAAAGCTTCTTGTGGGTAATCAATTCCCTACAAGTTTGCCAATATTTTTCTATGTTTCTTGATAGAAGATGTTCCTCTCATTTCTTTATACAGGAAAAAGCTTAATATTCATTCTTCACCATAACTGGAACGTTAGAACCATGCAAGAATATAATTTTTAGGACCTTGATAAATATAGGCCAGAAAAAAAGAATAACAATGTAAGAGTTTACATTTAAACAATTTCCACATATGCTGATAACCTCTTTAAAAACTCTGATCTTTAATCATGATGTAATGATTTTAAGAAAAATGGATACGTCGTGTATACTGGGTAATGGTTGATTGTGGTGTTATAAAAAATTTACATCTGCAAATACCTAGTTGTAAATAGCTGCCTCTTAGAATAACAATTCAAGAAAGATACACTGGGGGATAGACACAAGTGAGAAGGCCTATCAGGATATAGATTTAGCTTTTAACAAAGACCCAAGCTTAAAATATTAGCTTAAATGTGATAGAGAGCACCAATCTCTGGAGATAGGGTTTCAGAAACCTAAGCTTCCTCTACGTGGCTCCCTGCTCTTGCCGACATGGTTGAAGATGGGTTACCAGGGCTGGGCCCACACTGCAACAGCAACAAGGAGGAAATGAGATCAAGGAGAGCACAGCCATCATTTTTAAGAGCACATCCAGAACAGCTCACTTCTCACTTCCACTCACTACCCATTGGCTGGAATTTAGTCACATGGCTGCACCTCACTACAAAGGAGGCTGGGAAATGTCCTTAGCTTGGCAGCTTATTACTGAAGAAAAAAGGGAAGATGGGATACCAAGAAACAACTACCAGTTTCTGTCATTTGTAAGAGATTAAGTTATAAGTAACAGAGAAACTTTATCACTTTCATCTGTTAAGTCAAAGAAATTTAGCTTTTGACATGAGAAAACCAAGTGGAAGAATATGTGTGATTACCACCTCACAAAGCTATCTGTTATAATCCAATCAGTCTATGGGAAGTGATTTTGGAAATTAGTCCTCCTAAAATTATTCCTTCTATTATTGTGGTGACCATTTCACAGTGTATATGAATATATGATCGTCATATTGTATACCTGAAACTAAGGTAATCTGTCAATTATACCTTAATTAATTAAGTCCTTCTAAAGTTCTATAAAGATAATGTAAAGAAAAGGCCCTGCTGGGCCAGAGCCGACACAAGGGTCAACCTAAGCAAGAAGGGACCTTGCTAGGGAGCCTGCTCAAGGAAGGGGAGGACAGCAGACTTCAGAGTGTGAAGCTCGAGGCACCAGATTTTGTGCACTTAGTCACAGAACTTGGACTATGAGAGCTGAGAGGTGGGCAGAATCGACTACCCTAGTGAAGAAAGGACCACTAAAACAGCCTTCAGCTCGGGTCATGATCCTGGAGTCCCGGGATCCAGCTCCAGCACTGGGCTCCCAGCTCAGCAGGGAGTCTGCTTCTCCCTCTCCCTCTGCCCCTCCCCACCCTACCCCTGCTTTGTGTTCTCTCACTCACGCCCTCTCTCTCTCTCTCTCAAATAAATTAATAAATAAAATCTTAAAAAAAAAAGAACGCGCATACACGAATCCTTAACACCAGAATACGAATGTTGTTGGCATGAATGTTCTCATCTTTACCTTATTTGAGAAATACCTTGTTTCATAGCAAACTAAAAATTGCTCTCTCCAATGGAACTTTCAGCTTCAGGAGTCATCCATACTGCCTGAGCTTCAGCAACAGGAACACAGATTTCCTAGTTCGCCATATCTGAGCGTTGCCTCCGTGATAAAATGTACTTGGAGAAAGACAAATTTCCATTAATGAAGAGCAGTAGAAAATCAGAAAAATATTACAGAGTCTTGTAATATAGTCTTATAAAATGCTTGAGGTCATAATATAGCAACAATAATAATAGTAATAATATTCTCTATGTATAGCACTTTGTAAATTACAAAACGCTTTAACCAGACATTGATTTCATCAAAATAAACACTGAGGAAAGGATACCATTTTGTAGGCAAGCAAGCTGACTTAGAAAGTTTTAGTAACTTGTCTGAGGTACCGTGATCAAACTATTGTGAAAAAAAGAATTAAATGCAGGTGTTTTAATTCCATGTCCAGGGCTCTTACCCGTATGACCCTTGCCTCTTCTGAACTTTAAGGGACTTCATGAGTTTTCTCATTTATTCATGCATTCATTCAACAACTGTTTATCGCTCACCTCCTCTGGGCCGATCATTATACCAGGCATTGAGGATGTCGTGATCAACAAGACATCATCTCTGCCTTCTCACCCAGCTTGCAGTCTGGCAAAGGACAGAAGCGTGTAATCCACGCTGGCCACTGCAAAACAGTGAGGTGTGTGCCACAACAGAAGGAATATAGCAGGCTGTAGGAGCACATGAGAAAGGGATCTCCCCAAATCATGAGTCAGGAGAGGCTTCTCAGAGGAGCTGATGTTTACACTGAGTCCCCAAGGTGAGGAGGAGTTGAAGGAATAGAGTGTTCCAAGCCAAAAATAAAGCCTGTGTGGTGTGAAGTCACTGCCGAGGGTGAAGTGACCCTAGATCAGGCCCAGAATAGGGAAAGACCCAAAGGACTTACAAATTCAACTTAGTGTATGCATTCCTAGTATTTGGCTACTGAGAGACTTCATCTATTCATCCTTCTTTCCCATCCAACCAACCAACCATCCATCCATCCATCCATCCATCCACAGTAGGTGCTGTTTGAAAAACTTTTATTGAGAAACCTAGTATTGCCAGGCACTGTGCCAAGTGATAAAGAGGGCATAAAGGTACACAAAACATTATCCCAACTAATGTGAAGCTTAAACTTTAATTGAAGAGATAAACCTGTGTACATATTACTGGATATGCAAGCTGGATAGAACAGGTGTCCTAAAAGGTGCTCTAAGAAGTTACCAGGGCCAGGGGGATGGTACCTGGAGGGAAATGTAAGTTTCAGCAATAACGTTAACAGACCAACATCAGACTGAACATTCTCCACATTTTTCCTGTGTCTGTTTGCTTATTGGTTTTATTTTGTTTTGTTTTCTGAAATTTGTTCTTCCATAGATTCTGTGGCAACAGCGTCCGGGCCACTGCTAGTTGAAGTTGCCAAAACTCCCGGTGCCAGCCTTGGGGTTGCCCTAACTACCTCGATGTGCTGTAACAAACAGGTCATTGTCATAGACAAAATCAAATCTGCAAGTATTGCAGACAGGTGGGTGTTGTAGAAAGTGCCTACTTTTCAAAACTGCATGAGTGTTAAAATATATATATATTCTATATGTATATATACACATATGTAATACTTACACATGTACACATGCATTCACACACGTACATATATGATTAAAAAACAGCTCTCCTGCCCGTTTATACAAGTTTCATCAAGAAAACAAGTTACGGTTCTACGGCTTGAAAATTCACCTACCTTATCAGCCACCCCATAATGTTATGTTGCCTCATCCAGGTGTTTGGTGTGGCCGCTAGAGATAGGAAAAAAGAAAGTCAAGCACCTGAACCAGTTTTCTACCATGTTCTAGGGTGATAGATTGTTTTCGGTGTAGGGTAGCTAAGCATATCTTTAGTATGCTCCCTTTAGAGAAGTCATACGTTTTCCTGAACTGTTAATTAAATCTTGCCAAAATCTTATAAAAATCTCATTCCTTTTTTCTTAAATGAGTAAAACAATATTTTTGAAATAATGCAGTCTTTAAAGAGAGGTCTTACACTGTCATAGAATGTTAATCTTAGGGTTTCACTGTCTTCAAGGGCCCCTGAAAACAGCGTTCATTCCTATGACACAATAAAAACAAAAGTCCTCTTTCCTGAATTCTTTTTCCTAATTACTATTTTAGACTTATAAGGTAAGAAGGGTTGGGGGCAAAAAGACTACCTCGCCACCTAATAAATTAGTTCCCAGCTCCTGGTAAGAAAACCCCACTTCCATCGCTGAAGCTCTCCAAGTGCATCCACACGGAATTTTATTTTTAGATGGAAGGGACGACTTGAAATGCTTTTTTTGTCTTGAGAAGGAGATTATTCCCACCGTGGAAATTGCTCGATATCCTCCGAGAGGCCCCGCCTCCCCTGCGTGTTTCCAGCCTCTTTTCCAGAGGCCCTCGCCCTACGTGGGGAACCTCCCACCCTGATGCAGTAACCTGCAGCAACCCCTGTAGTGGTCAGTCTACAGCTCCACTGTGGTCTTACCCTACATTCCGTTCTTTACCAGTGATGGCCATTGACCCAGGGGTATTCTCCGGTTCAATGGTGCAGGATGCTTTAATTTTCTCCCTCTGTTTTTCTCCCATTCCACAGGGGGTAACCAGTTTAAGGAGCTGTCCACTTGACTGGTACGTCGGGATGCTGACTGCTGTGTTTGCTTTTCTCAACTCATCCAGTAGCCAGTCTCTTGAGTTCAGCGAGATGTAGCAGCTAGTCCTTCCCCCACCCCCCAGCTTTCCCCTTCACTCACCATGCAGGCCTCCCTTTTGACTCTTTTGACTCCTGCATAATTTCCATCACCATCGAGAGCTTTTGTACTAATCGATGTTTAACTCCAGAATAACAAAATAAAATATAATAAAGCGCTGGTGATTTGGCAGCTCATGTGAGGGGTTCTGAAAAAGCATTAGCTGAGTCTCCCCCAGTTATTCCCATTTACACATAAAGTAGTTGTAAATGATCCCATTCCAATTATGCGAGTCACATCTTGACATTCTGAATATGTACCAGCTCATGCTCATAAAAACCAACAAGGAAAAATCACAGGAAAAAACAAAAGCCAAGGGGAAAAATTGTCCTGTGCTTCTCTTCCCTCCCACTCACTTCCCTTCAACTTTTGGCACCGCCACCCCGAAATAATATATTCTTTTTTAAGAAGCACAAGAGAAAAACACTTCCTTGAGTTTTTCTGTATTTTCTACATTCCTATTCCTACACAAGGTACTTAACATTTGACAGATGGTGTTTCCTATAACACTCAAATTTTTCCTATTTTTAAGTAAATTGAAACTGTGTGAAATGTTAACTATGAAGGCCGTGAAAGTCATAGTCCAAAGAGGAAGGCACTCATCCTACTGAGTATTTGTCCTTTCCCTTTCCGTAGATGTGGTGCCCTGCACGTGGGAGACCACATCCTGTCCATCGACGGAACGAGCATGGAGTACTGTACGTTAGCAGAGGCCACCCAGTTCCTGGCCAACACCACCGACCAGGTCAAGCTTGAGATTCTGCCCCATCATCAGACCCGCCTGGCCCTGAAGGGACCTGACCATGGTGAGAGGATCCAGCTAGCTAAATCTCTCTTATCTTCCCCTTACAGTTACTGCTTCTTCAGCACAGTTAGAGGCCGGAAGACACAGAGTCTACTTCCAGCTTTATCATTTCTTTCAAAGCAGCAGGTTACCTTTGTTGGCTTTTCTTCATCTTCCAGATTGCCCCCAACCCCCAAGCCATACGTGATTTATTTAAAATCTCAAAATTGAAGAAAGAAACATTATTTGAAACAGAATTTTCAGGCTTGTACTATTTGATTTTTTTTTTAAAGGCTTTGTTCCGAATTGAGTGTGGAGAGAAGGGAAAGAATTTGACTTCCTGTTCCGCATATTGAGTTTCCATTCTACTTGAAGGACAGTGAAGGCATATTGTAAAACTCTCACTTTTTATAATTATGAAGTGGGTATTCGTGGCACACCCTTCAAATATTTGGAGAGGGGAAAAAAAAAAAGTCGTAGGAAAGGTTGACTTTCTCTATATTTTTTCCATTTTCCAGAGTAGCTTTTCCCTTAGGATGGAGAACCACCTCTGTGAGCAAGTACCTCTCCTGGGAGTATCAGAATATTTGACTACATTTATTCCGTAACAGCTGTCAGCTGAGGGGACCCACATTTTTACTGTGTGGAAACTCACAGATATGTTTGCTAAGTGTTTATGTAGCCTCCACTTAGGCATCTTTAAACAAAACCTGGTACAAGATAAAGGACTTGGAACCCCAAATGACACTCCACTTGTGAGAGTCTCTCTTCCAACCCTTACACCAAGTGCCCTCCTTTGTTATTCCTTGAAATGGATTCCTTGAAGCTTCACGAGTGCTGTCAGGGGGCCGGAGACGAGCATTTTTTTTTTTTTTTTTTTTTGTATTTTTAGAGAAAGAGAACCATTTCCTCTGGAATTGAAATTTTGCTGTGAGGAGATCGTTTGTATTATGCATCTCCCACCTTCTGAAACACACCGCACTTTGCCACAGTTCGGAAGAAAAAAAAAAGAGGGACCAGATCATTTTCATACTGAGTCAGCTGGATGCAACCTTTTTTAATTAAATGGAGCTTAGACAGCCTGGAGCTAATGAAAATCTCTAGTACAGCATTACCTTTATCAGATTTTAATTTGACACAATGGAGCAGAGAAGGGTTGCCGTAGAGGCAGGTTAGGGAAGGAAACTCTGCCTCCTCTGACTAGAAATGGTAAGGGGTTCATGGGAATGCACCCCGTTCCGCTCAGGAGACCTCACGGGGCACACTGGCAGAGGGGAGAGATTTCTAAAACTAAGTCTCTTCTAAACTAACCCGAAGTCATCACTGGATCTGGAGCATAGTGGGTCTAAGAATGCACACAATGTAGTGCTTTCTCAGCATGAGATTCGGCTTGATAAATTCTGCTGTCAGAGAATCAGAACTACGGAGCCGACTCTTGCAAAATGTCATTATCTTCAGCAGCCCCATCTCCCCCTTTTTACTGGCCCTGTGTACAAATCATAAGTAGTCCAAATAGTTTCCAACTCATGAAATATTAAATCCTTTTACCTGTCAAGACAATTTGAGAGGGTGAATTTATATCCTAAGATGCATGGAGACCAAGAACAAATTTTTTTTTTCACTACCAAAAACCTGACGTCATTGTGATTTTTCGGAGGGGTGGAGGATGGGGGCTGGTAACTGAAGTAATTCTATCTTCCACTTTCGACCTTATCATCTACTTTGGCTGACAGTTGCACCCTCTTTCTTATCTCGCCTACAGGCATCTCCCTACATTTTACATTAAAATCAGACTTGCATTTCCAAAAGAACAAAATTATTGGCTCCAAAACATAATTAAATCACAGTTAAGAAGGGAAAAAAAATACCCAAAAAATTTTATGGTGTTTATAATTCTCAAACTTCTGGGTTTTTTTATGTGGTAGAATGGTTTTACATAGTTTTACCCTTTTGCCACAAGAAAGTTCTGGTTATTTTTTTCAGGAATTCTGATGCCCGAACAGCATGTCTCTCATCCTAAGGTGGATGGAGATATATTTCCCAAGTTTTGCTTCCCAACAAAGTATTCACCACCACAGTGTTTTCAGGGAAATAAAGAAACGGGCCCATCAGCTAGGAATGAGAATAATTGTGCCTTTTGCCGATAAATAGCACTAAAAATGCCAACAAGAATGAGTTTCCAATAAGGTTAGAAACTGTTCCCACTGAGGGTCTTTGGGAGACATAGTCGTGATTGAAGTTCATGAGACTTTGGAAGAGAACATGGAGCAGAGTCACGAGGTTCAGTACATTCAGTGCCTGGAGGACCTTCCATTTGTGAGCTCCAGGAGCAACCATGAAATCAGCTGTTGGCCTGTCCCCGTAGACATCCCGGACAGGGCAGGAGGGTACAGTGAGAGAGGAGAACAGACACAAGTCCCCTGCACGTCAGATACATCGTAGGACTCCAACAGTGACGCCATCCTGGAAGATGTAAAAAGCATTTTATTTTTAACTTGCTGCATATGTATCTGTGCAAATCCAGGAACACCCACAGGAAGAGGCAGTGTGTGGTGGCTGAAAGGCAGGGATTCCTGAATCAGACTTCCAGACTTAATTCTGGCTCCACCACTTGGGACCTTAAGCAAGCAACCCAACTTTTCTATTCCTCAGTTTCTTTATCTGTAAGATGGGCGTAATAATAACAGCAACACTTGCCTCCTAAGTGAATTGTGAGAATTATCTAAGATAATCCATGAAATAGCATTTAGCACAATGCCTGGTGTATAGCAAGTGCTCAGTGAAAGTTGGCTGTTATTATTGGGACCATTAAATGGGAGAACGTATAGAAATGTTTTTTGCAAAATGTAACATCTTATCTTTAAACTCGTGAAATGCTTGCCTAACAAGCATATGAGTATCAAGTACACCACCATAAAACAGAATAGATTTGGTGTGTATGTTCAAAGTAAGCAGTAGCTGCGCTCCCTGGCCTACATTATTTGTTGAACATCTTTTGCATTCATTATGCATGGCATACAATTTCATGCGTTCTCTTATGTCATTTTTGTCCCTTATTATTTCATATGTATGAAGATTTCGTCATCAGGAACAGCTCAAAGTCAAGGTAAAGGTTATGACCTACACTTAATCTGCCTGTAATGATTGGCACAGGGCTGGGCACCCAAGAGTGGTCAATAATATCTTTCTTATTGATTTGTTAATTGGGTGCTACAGTCGTAAAAAAAAAAAAAAAATGCCCCAATAATTTTCAAAGTCCTCCTTAAAGAACTGAGTCAAAAAGTGAGTGTAGAATTCTAAAGTCCATTCACTATGCTCTGCCTTCATTTGAAACATAGACAATACTGTGTAAAAAGTTCATTAGAGTGGCTGTTGGTGTGGATTAGCCAGACCCAGCAATGATCACATCTTTCTAAGAAGTCTTCTTGCACTCCCCAAAATAGAAGGAGGATGGGCAAAGAGAATCCATTATGAACTTCCCCTGCAACACTCTTTATCACAAGGAAAATGCTGCTGCAGTGTGGACGGGTACACTCCCACCGATTCCTGTTCACTTACGCATTCATTCATTCATCCGTCATGTTGGACCAGGCACCGTTCTAGGTGCTATAATTCATCTAGTGAGCAAGACAAGCAAAGTAGATTCCTATTTTCATGGAATTTCAGTATAGAGAGACAAACAGGTAAAATATGTTAAATAAATAAAGCCACTTCAGACTGTAATAAGTGCTATGAAGAATACAGAGTAGTAATGGGATAGCTTGGGATAGGGCAGCTCTGCAGCCAGGGAGGTCAGAACAACTTCTCTGAGGAGGTGGTACCTTAGCTGAGACCTGCATGATAAGAAGGAGCCAACCCTGCAGGCAACTGGGAGGAGGAAGAAGAGCAAGGGCAAATGCCCTGAGGCAGGAAGCAGCCTGGCTTGTTCTAAGAATAACTGTAAGACCAACAGGATGGGGAGAGTGATAAGGATAAAGCTGGAGAGATAAGTAGGGGGCACATTTGATGCTCCTTGTAATTGTAACCCACTAAAGCCGCTTAAATGGGAGTGACTTATTTAAAAGATTACCCTGTCTTTCAGATACTGAGAGGGAGGTATGCAAGTGGATGAATCGGGGAACCAAGTCTGCAGGTGTTGCAAGGGTCAGGGAGATAATGGCTTGAAACTAGGATAGTGGACAGGGAGATGGAACCCAAACTAGAGACAGCGGCGGACAGAAGAAAGGGCCAGGGGGCGCAGAGCTTTAAAATTGCGGGGCCTATGCAGGTGTTCTGCAGATTCCAGAGGTAGTCTCCAAACCTAAGTGTCCACTGAGTGAAATTTACTGAGTGAGAGCTACATCTTTTTCCTTTAAAAGATACTTTATTTGTAGGCAAGTAGATAGAAAGGAAGCAGAATCAATCTTAGTAGTAAGAGCTCATTTGTTTTTATTGTGTGTACCATGCGAAGCACCGTGTGCGTAATTCTCACAATTGTCCTGCGGGGGAGATGCTTTCCAGATCTCCACTCAACAGGTGAGGAAACTGAGGCTTAGGGAGGCTGAGTAACTGACCAGGGTCCTATAGAGAGACAGGGCTGCGCCAGAACTGAAAGCCCGGTCAGGTCAGCCTGGTGCTGGCAATCCTCTTCCCTGCTGGTGCTTTGGTTCCGCTAGTGGTCTCGCTCCAGAAAGCCTGTCAGGTGGCCAATGACAACTTAAGCCCTTATCTAAATGAGCCTACTTTAAATACTTACTGAGTATTTGACCCTCTACATGAATAAATGTTGTTAAATAATTCACATGTTAGGCATCTTTTACTTTAGAATCATGACACTAAAAGGAGATACGAGTTCATGTGTTATTTTTAACTCTTTAAGATTGTTCAGTGAAAAATCTCATATCAGACATAGTAACACACATAACATTGCCCCTCTTTCAGAACACTGGGTAGAAAATAAAATCTAAATAATGTTGAAATTAGAATAGAAACAATATACATTTTTTTTTTCAATAAAGAGGACAGGAAAATTTTGAAATAAGCTTTATTAAAACGTTACGGCATCTTAAAATGTAAGAACATGTGAAATCTTTTGAGAATTATCTCTTTCAAATGTAAACTTTTTTTGCAAAAATACAAAAAAGTATAAAATATATTGAGATTTTTATTTTCTCCTTAGGAGGCTACAAATAAGATTCTGATATTGATAGATGATTGAGAATGGGTTTCTGGGGGGCTTTGGGGGGCTTTTTTGAGAAAAGTCAAGTCCAATTGATGGATCTGAGTGTAATTAAAATGTCAGAACAGTAAATTGTGATGTGTGACTGGTAAAACACTTGAATCATGCGCCAATGTGATTTATTGTTCCTTCTTTTTTCTCAAAACAAGTGCTACTAAACTGGCCAAGATATGCAAATCTTTAATTACTAGTCGTGTGCCATAGATCTTTATAGGCTTGACTTTTAAGTTTAAAAAAAAAAATGTTTTTAATCTCTGCTGCAAAGTACAGGGGGAGATTAGAAATTGATTCAGTAGTCATTTGAAAAGGAGAAAAAAAATGGGCCAGGGAAAGACATGCATTATTCTTGGGAAGATGAAAGGCTTCCATCCCTGATGTTAATCATCTGTTTTGCTGATCACTGAGAAAGGACAAAGCCAGTTGATTTTTTTCTTTTTCTTTTCTTTCTTTTTTTTTTTTTTTTTTTTTTTTTTTTTTTTTTTTTTTTTTTTTTTTTTTTTTTTTTTTTTTTTTTTTTTTTTTTTTTTTGGCAAGCAGCTTTCATTTTTTTGTTACGCTTTTTATTTGTACAATTCAGTTATTTTTTCCTTTTTTTTTTCGGTTCTTTTTCTTATTTCTCATCATCACTTCATGTGGGCAGTGAAAATTCAGAGGACCGACAGACAACTTACGTGGGATTCCTGGGCCAGCAACCACTGCAGCCTTCACACCTACCATCACCCTCATACGATCCACCCTGACCATTGCAGAGTGCCAGCCCTGATGGGCCCGAAAGCGCCTCCTCCAAACAGCCCTCGTAATATTCCAGACTTTCCCCTCCTGCTCTTTTATTGAAATGATATGCTTCCTCTTCTTCATCTAATTCATACCATATTTGGCTTCATGAGTGTTATGTGCTTTCTTTTTTTTTTTCTTTTTTTTTTTTTTTTTTTTTTTTTTTTTTTTTTTTTTTTTTTTTTTTTTTGTAGCCCCTTATCATTTCTGGTGTTTTTTTTGTTTTTTCCCCCCCTGTCAGAAAGCATTTGTCATTAGGGAAGGATGTCACTGTTCAGAACACTTTGTATGTAGTCAGGAGATAACAATTCCAAAGATTATGGAGACTACGATGTTCTCAGCGCCTCCTTGTGTATTTGGCACCACTTGTGAAATTCATGTCAGAATTTATCTATGAAAATGAGACTATGTACCTGATGCACAGAGTTGCTGTTTATGGGGAGACTCGTTTTAATGCTTGTGTGTGTGTCTAAAGCAACGTTCATAGAGCGTCTCTGTGTTCCATTGTGCTCCCGAGGATTATGGCGCTCCTCAAGGAGTTGTAGACTCTTGGAACTCGGAGATTCTGAATGGCTGTCCCCATGGCCTCCGAAACCTGCTCTCTGTCTGGTTGGGGTATTTCCTAGCCATCGCTGTGCGTCCTGTGTGTCTTTCTGGATCATTGCTGGTTGGCAAGGGTAGCAGGCTCACACCTCCCCCCCACCCCCGCCCCGAGAACGCTCTGTGCCAAGTGTCTACTCTCTTACAGCAGCTTTGGTGTCCTCCTTGTCTCCTACCTCCATGAGTGCATACAGCCTGAGTTCCCTGAACATGGGGACTTTACCTCGAAGCCTCTACTCTACTAGCCCTCGTGGAACCATGATGAGGAGGAGACTGAAAAAGAAAGACTTCAAAAGCTCACGTAAGTGAAATGGTAACCATTGTCTCTGGCCTGGAGAAAGTGTGTGGGCCGCTTGGCGTCGGTGGCAAGCGTGTCTTACAGTGCCGAAATGATTAGGTGGATGCTAAGGAGTGCATGGCTCTCTGCCAAAGATCAAGGAAATGATATCTATTATCTCTAGGATAGTGATTGAGCAGAATACAATTTCAGACTGAATTAGCTCATACTGCCTTGGCCTACAACTTTGTCTCTGAAATTTTTTTTTTCTTGCTCTTTTGACCTGAAAAAATAACCAAAGAGGTGATTTTTTTTTCCTTCGAGACTCCTTCCTTCCATTTTGGGTAGCTTTGGACATGAAACATTTGTTCTTAATTTCTTATTCACACGAAAGCCAATTTTTTTAAAACTATGTCCCCCTTCTGATAACTATGAGAATCCCATGCATTTGTTTAATATGATTATAAATTTACTCACTTATCTTTCCAACCAGATCTAATCATAGTCCAGAGAGGTGTGAGTATTTCTTGTCCTGTCTGTTCCCTTTGGGCGCTGTAATTATGATTCCTACAGAGAACCTCAAAGAAGATGGGCTCTCTCTCTGTGCTTACCATAGAAATAAAATAAGGAACACCCTTACGTTAACTAAATAAAATGAAACCCAGATACTTCAAGGCTGGAAGTGAAGAGAGAATGTTCTTATGAGAAGGGATGTTTGGACCTATTGACTCTTCAGCTTGTTTGCCAGAGATTGATCTTCACAAGTGGACCATCAGTGTGGGAGGCCAGCCATCATCTTCGTTTTATAGAAAGCTGACAGTTTCCTTACAAAGAAAACCATTGCAAAAGATAGGGTCACCATTGTGGTATATTCATGATTTAGACTTGCATATCCCTTCAAGTATAAGGGGTTTTGTCAACTTTAGTATATGTACATGACAGTAAATTTGAAATTTCGAAAATAGAAGGAAGATTGAGTGTGGTTAAAATGAGAATAAACAGCTTCTAGAGTCTCACATGTTTCTTAGCTAACACTAAAGTAAACTATTCACTCTTGGAAGAAACTAGTTGAAGGCAGTAGAGTGAACTGGTGATGAGCATAGAAGCCTGTGTTCGCATCCCAGCGTCATTCCTGTAGGACCTTCAGCAAGTCACCTGAGTTCTTTAGGCCTTGGCTTCCTTAGCTACAAATGGGGATTAATTATAGTGCTTGCTTCATTGGGTAATTGTGAAGATTATATGAGAGAATATATATATATTCTCGCCACCAAGAGGGACATATGGGACAAGAAATACACTCCAGGCTATGATGAGTATATGAATTATATATAATTAAATATATATTATGCGTATTATAATAAAATTATATGCTAACTACATATACATATATATGTACATACATATACACACTTATTATATATATAATGTTCACTATTACCCAATGAAATAAGTACTATTTTTTATTTATATATATATATATAAATATATATATATATGCTAGAACACCTGGTAAATGGTAAACACTTTTTAACTGTTAGCCATTTACATAGTTTAAGTGTTAGTTATTATTCCTTGGATCTAAATTGTCATGTACGAAAATCTATTGACTGTGTTCTCAAATTTGGGCATTTTTCACAGTGGTTGCTTTGGCTTAATACATAGGTTTTGAGTCTTCCCTATAAACCTTCAGGGTTTGTGGTGGATTTCTGTATAGGAAATTTTTTATATATAACGCCTCCGTGTGCAATGTCCCTCACTGACAGCAACAGGCTCACAGCCCTCCACAGGGAAGAGCAATTAAAACAAACTCATTAATGTTTGTACTTCTGCTTCATTGGCTAAATGTTTGTGTTAGGTAAAGACTCGCTACGTTGATTAAAGATATTAGTGACTACAAATGAGTGATGATATGTTTGGCTAACTCAGGGTGATATTTACATCGCTTGAATTTTGTGGTAGGAAACAAAGCTGAGGCCAGGCTGTCACTGACACCCATAACCAACTCATAAATTCTGTTTTGAATCAGAGAGTGATGCTCCGTCATAGGAGAAACAGAAACAGAAACCTGGCTCAAGAAATCTCCGGCTATTTGTGTTTGCTAATGTAGACATTAGCCACTAAAAGCAACACTGACCACATGCCTACCAGAATGTTTCTAAATGTATCTCAAGAGATCAGACACTTTATATTGTAATCAAACAATGAGGTCCAAAACTTTCATTCTTACTCCAAAGAGTCCTATAAAAATAGTGATAGTATTCCGAAGTCAGAAAAAAAGGAATCATGTTTTTTGGGGTTTGGGGGGGTTTGTTTGTTTGTTTTCGTTTCTCTTCTCCCTCCTTTCTCTTCCTCTTTTGCTCTCCTTGCTTCTTGGTATGGTCACATCAGCTGTAAAGGTTTTCCCAAATAACGGATAATAAAAATTTTATTACACTCTCACTATACCGTGGTTTACTTCCACCACTTTATTTATATCTTTATTCTATGCCACCATTTGCTGCCCCCTTTCTAATACTTACGTTTCTATGGCAACCAGGCCATTTGTATGGATGGTGAATCATGCCAGAGTCACAACAAATATAATAAAAACCCTCTCCACTGTATTGGTGATGAGGTGAGGCCAGAGCTTGCAAAACAGAAAAAAAATTCCCACATATGTTTCTAGTGGAGAAGGACATGCCAGGAAAGAATGAAATCTTCTCCCATAAAAATTAAAACATTCTGTATCATTGACCAAAGGGGAAAATGCAGGCAGTCTGTAGCAACACGTGACAAGAATTAAACTAGGAAAGCCCCATGTTTGCTTCACAGGAAGAATGATGAGTATCCCCAGCATTGGGCTGGGAGGAGTGTCACAAAGCCCTGGGAGGGCTGCAGGGCCATGTCACAGAGGGAACCCTCTGGTCACCTCTTTTGGAATCTTACTGACCTTTGCGCCACAGCCTGGGCTGTCCCTGTCTCTGCCTCGGAGGTCAAGGCTTTTTCCAGAACCCTATCATCCCCCCCGTGATGGCAGCATGACTGAGCAGTGGACCTGGTTCGTTCCCCCTGAGTCCCGCTTCTGCACACAGAGCCAGTGTAGACTCTGTCTGTTTGCAGTCCGCCTGACCTGCAGACAAGTGTGGAAGCTAGATCACATTCCCAGAATAGTCTTTGCCTCTTGTGCCATCACCACTTACTAGCAGGGTGGCCAACACTGAAAAGAGCTGAAAGGAAGAGAATGAAGAAGCCGAACAACTTCTGTCCCTGCCACAGACCCCTGAGAAAAGGACGGAAGGCAAAGGCAGCTATTGGTAAGCCTTTAGAGATGAGCACGCAGGGAGCCCTCCAGGAGGCGGCTTATGAGCTGCCCCCCCCACCCCCACCCAAGCCTACCCTCATTTGGAGAAGGGAGCTGCTGGACACCTGAACTGGATCACGTGACACACAGTGTGCTGGATCCACAGCAGGCTGATTCCGATGGGGAACACTTTATGTTTGTTTTTTTTTTTAAAGATTTTATTTATTTATTCATGAGAGACAGAGAGAGGGAGAGAGAGAGAGAGAGAGAGAGAAGCAGGCTCCCAAGGAGCAGGGAGCCCGATGCGGGACTCGATCCCAGGGCTCTGGGATCATGACCTGAGCCGAAGGCAGACGCTTAACCATCTGAGCCACTCAGGTACCCCCGATGGGGAACACTTTAGTGAGCTAGAGGTCGTGAGGTATGGAATCAAATAGTGATAAACATACTATACTAATAAATCTTTGCGGTCCATTGTTCTGGATACTTTTTAAATGCTTTCCCTATCTGACAGGAAACCTCACAGACTTCTAAGCAAAGAAAACATTTGGCAGATTTTTAAACTTTAGAAGCTAACAAGTTATCGTTGGTTTTCCTCCCTTACTTACACTAGGAAAGACAAGAATTGACAAACGCACAGGGTCATTTCCTGCATACCTGAAGGGCTGTGAACAGAACCCTCCAAGTGTGAACAGGAACAGGACAGAGCAGATGCGAAGCCTGAACACAACCCTGGCACACACCAGTTAGCTATATTCACGCACAGTATGTCAGCTGCTTAGCCATTCCCTTCTTCACCTGAGTAGAAATGGGCACACTCAGGCCAGAGCTGGTACCTTGCAGGAGAATCTGCTACTGGAGAGAGAATCCATCATACAATTGTTTAAACTACAGGGTTATAATTCATAATAAATCACCTTTATTTTCTTTTGCTGGTTGGCCACCTTAATGAAGAAGGATAATCAAGCTCATCTTTTTTTTCCTCCAAGTAATATTGGTTGTTTTTTCTCCTGGCTCATCATCTTTAAATCTACACTTTATCTTTTTCAAATCTGGTAATAATTTGCAAGACTTTAATATGTGTGAGTAATCAGTACATACAATTTCAAATGAAATTTTACTGTTTCAAAGAACAGATTTCATTATATCAAAGGACTTTCAGAGTTAATTATAAAAACTTAGATTATTTATTATAATCCTATATTAGGTAAATTATAAATTTATATAATTAGAGAACCAACGTTTAACATATTTTTAATCCTAAATTAAATGTCCTAATAAATTCTATTGCCTCGACTTGCCTCCAGATAAAGCTTACAAATTTAATGATGCCCACAGTGAGCACTTATTCCTATTTCCAAAACCTTCCAGGGGCGCCTGGGTGGCTCAGTCGTTAAGCATCTGCCTTTGGCTCAAGTCATGGTCCCAGGGTCCTGGAATCGAGCCCCGCATCGGGCTCCCTGCTCGGTCGGAAGCCTGCTTCTCCCTCTCCCACTCCCCCTGCTGGTGTTCCCTCTCTTGCTGTGTCTCTCTCTGTCAAATAAATAAATAAAATCTTTTTAAAAAATAATAAAAATTAAAATTAAAAATAAATTTTAAAAAAACCTTCCAGAGATTTCAGTTTCTCAACCATCTTCTCCAGCTGTTCTGAAAATGTAGCAAGTCTCTCCTTTGAGAAGATCTTTACTATATCCAGCCTAATCCTTCCTATTATGATTGACCCATTTCTTCCTAATTCTCTATTAGCGGAAATGCCAATGAGCTGGCTTAAAGGTTCAAGGCTTTTAACTCCAATTAAGTAATCCAAAAATCTATACCAAACTGAGATCTCAAATGGAAAAAAATACATATTAATGTGAACCTATAGAAAAATTCACAGAAAATAAAGTATTCCTATTGAAGTCCAAAAATCATCACCTAGAAGATAGACTGAAAGTAATCTGCCAATAGATGACGTTCTACTCTTATGTTCCTGCCTGCAATGAGAACACACTGGAAAGAAACACAACTCTCCAGATCGTTACTAACTACCTCTAGTGGTTGTGTGCCACTGGTAAGATAATGTATGATCTGAAGAACAATCAGAGTAGAGTTGATATCAACAAAGGCACACTAGAAAGTGTGATCTGAATTAATATGGGATATTGCTTCTCGGCCTTTTGGCTAAGAGCGAGTATGAATTAATATGGGATAGTCCCTGTGTCAGATCTTGGACTTGTAGGCCACCACCTACCTGTAAAAAGCTCAGGGTTGGAAGCTGACTTTACCCCCTACAACAGGCTACTTTATTCTCATCAATATGAATTCTGTTGTGAGAACAATGATGGTGCTTCTGAAGAAGAAGGTGATTTTCCTTCCTCCTCCTAGACATTTGTCCACCTCAGCATCCTCTGCCATGTCAGCTACAATGTTGGCATGAACCACATAGTAGAGATATTGGGGTCCGAGGAACAACTTCTAGTTCCTTAAGTCAGTAGAACCTACATGAAATGTTGATTCCAAAAAAGGAAAATGTGGATAATATCACAAGACCCAATTTGTTGTTCGTTTATTTAGTGTTCTTTGAATGCTCCAGACATTGGGATTTCAAAGAGGAAAAGATCTGGGTCCCAGTCTTTAGACAACTCAGGGTCAAGTGGAGAGAAAGGCAGGCAAATAAAAACCTGATAAATGCTGAAATAAGACCATGCGTTAGAAATGTGGAAATGTAAAAAAGTGAGTACCTGACTCTGCCTGGATAAGGCAGGGAAAGGGACATTGAAAACCCAGGGGAAGGGCTAAAGGGACAGAGGGCTGAAAGCAGGGCTGCCGCACATGGCACATGGAGGAAGCATCAAGGAGCACGAGACTGGATAGGCAGAACATGAACTTAGGAAGGGTCCTGTGAGCTCTGCCAGCATTGAAGACGTTGTTCTACAGGAAACAGGGAGGCACTGAAAGATTCTAAATTGGGGGAATACCTTCGCATATGAGAAAAAGCCACTCTGACATCAATTTGGAGGATGTTAGCGTAAGACAAGAGGCAAGGACACAGAGTCTAAGTCTGTATAGTGATCTGCATTAGCAATCATGAGGCCCTACTCCAGAAGCAGATAAATTGGGGGCCTCCTCATGAAGAGAAAGTTAATCTGGCAAAAATATGCAGAAAGTGTTGGGCACAGAAGGACCAGAAACATGCATGTTCAAATATTTAAAATAAAAATAATAAAAGCCTGAATTGAAACATTAATGGTAAGAAGGGAAAAGAGGATTTGTAGAAGTTAGTTATATTTCAGCGGTCATCTTGAAAGGACTTGGCAATTGATTGAATTTGAGACAATGGGGATGTTGGAAGTCAAAAGCTACTTTGAGATTTCAAGCCTGGTGGACTAGAAGCATGATGGTCCTATTCATAGAAACAGTAGCGGGAATGAGAAAGAGAAGATGATTAACTCAATTTTTAAAATGTTGAGTTTGAGGAGTCAATGGGACATTCTTGGGGATGGGATATCCAAGTCAAGAAATTCATCACTGGAGCTTGAGAGAAACTGGAGAGTTAGATTTGAGAAGATACACCCAGAGGTCCTATTAGAGACGTGTGAGAAGTGAAAGAGGGAGAGGAGAGGCGAGAAGGCTCAGAAGAGAACCGTGGGCAGCTCTGTGTTGGCAGGGCAGAAGGGGCAAAGGACCTGGAAGGGGCTGACAAAAGTCAGAAACTAAGAACAAAGCTTCACTGAAACCAAGAGAGTAATTTCAGAAAGAAAAGGATGGTTCCCAAAGCCAGCTGCTGCACGGTAGAGTGGATGAGGGCACTGGTTTTGGCAATCAGGAAGTCATCAGTGAGAGTAGATTCAGTAAAGGGTGAAGGGAGAGGCCAGGTTTTAGCAGTTTTGGAATCAGTACAAACCTATAGGGAGAGGTCAGAAAGCTAGGAGAGTGAGCAGGAAAGTTGGAAAAAACAAGAGAAAAGTGTTTATGGCACAACAATCACAGGGCGTGGAAACAGATCGTATCAGAAAGGAGGAGCTGGCCTTGAAAGGGAAGGAAAGATACATCCTCCTGAAGCAGGAAGAAAAAGGAAGTGAGAGCAGATAATGATACAGAGAAATCGAGGTTGAAAAGAATGTTTTTAAGGAACTCTTGTCAATGAAAGAAATGAAGTAAGGAGTAAAGTTTGATCCTTATAATGGTAGAAATGTTTGAGACTGATCCTTTGGAGAAATCAAATATTACATAACAGAAGATTCCAGGGCTCCATAGAGAATTGTGTGAATTTGTAGTGACTTTCTCTAGCACCCTTCAGCAAACTAGTAAGAGCAGTGGAGGCGAGCAGGCATTATCAAAGAGTATAGCGTATCAGACTATAGAAAATGTCATGAGGTTTAGGCCTCTCTGACACCAGCAGATGCCTCATTGAAGCGGTCACCAGGGGTCCAAGTGGAGTGTGGAGGGGAATGATACTACTAAAAGGCAATGGGTAAAGATGATAGCTTTCAAATTGGGTTCCCCAGATTCACACATGAGGGATGGGGAAGCCTCCTCTAGGGTCTCCTGTTCCTACCTCAGTTCCTACCTCCCGTTCCTACTCTCAGTTCCTACCTCAGTAGCTCTGTTGTTATCTGGAATACAAAGGCATCCCTTACACACTTTCATGTGAAGTGGGGGGTTGGGGGGGTGGAATCTATTGCTAACAAAACCATCGAAAACCACTAGATTGGAAGACAAGTGAAAGGGAGTGGGGCTAGAAGTCATCAAGAAGGGAAAGTTGGGGCCTAAGGACTGGGAAAGATGGCTAATAGGTTCTGTGATCAACAAGGAGAGTTCAGGTATGAAGATCCTGGAGCTCTTTCCAGTTTGAAGGATGCTGGGGTCCAGCACAGGGCTCTGCTTGATAGAGACCTGAAGTTGGGTAGGATTGCCAATAATCAGCACTGAGAGAGCTAAAGAACCGTAAACCCAGTGCATTGTTTATTGCCATCATGTCAAAGATACTGAGGACATGGAAAAGCTACAGATTAGAAGAGGCAAATTAAGAGTCAAGCCCTGATGTCAGTGGGGAAATGGGGGAAAACAGGAAAAGTAGAAAAGTATGGGTCTGAAGATGAGACAAGGCAGAAATAAGTACATAATATAGAACTTTAAAATAGAAGTGGTTTATGGTAAAATACACTGGATGTGTGGAGCAAGGAGGGTTATAAACTCTTCTCTCTCCTTGCCGCATGCAGGGAAAGTGAAAAGAAAATGGCTTCTGGTTGCAGTGGGTTTTGAGGTATATGGTGTCAGCAAGTTTCAATTACAGAGGCCAAAAGACCTCTTTTGGAGGAAGTGACGGTCCAGCATCGGACCGTGCAGAGAGCTTGCTCACGGAGAGTAAAGGAGGCAGGGGTCCCAGTGGGCAATGCTGAGAGAAAGGCATCTAGGAGTGGAGTGGCCTTTTCATGACCCAGGTTGGGGATAGGAACAAGACAGAGATGGTTCCTGGAGGCTTAGATGAGTGTCAGAAGAATGAATGAAGTAAGAGATGACAAAGTAGGCTGGAGATCCAGTGAGAAAGAACGAAGGCTGAAGAGCCCAAATTTGGGGAAAGGAGAAATATAAAGTTTCAACAATTCCATCGTGCCAAACCAATGCTAAAATAATGTTGATGACAAGCACGTCCTCACCACTCCAGGAGCCAGACTTTTTCTTCAAAGCTGAAGGTCAGATTGTTTATAAAAACCTTAAAGCTTAGGCACAAATGGATAGAGGGGAAAACATATTAGACCAGTTAGCCTGACCCTTTTTTCATAGGAAAGAAATTAATGCCTTCCCCAAGGTCACACAGCTGGTTGCCTACTGGTGGACCAAATCCCAGGTACACGGTCCCAAGGCTGTCGTCTTCCTGAAGCTCCCACAATTGTCCCTGGTACCGGGACTGAGTGTGGGGAGGAGGCCACACTGGCACTGGGACTAAAATGTGATGGATTTCAGGAGATTCCTTTATCTAGTTCAGCTCTGACTAAATTTTTGTCTAGAAGACCAAAGTATCACCTCCACCATTGCCAATGGGCTTTTTTTTTTTTTTTTCCCAGAGACATGATCTGTGTCACAAATGCTGGTATTCCGGGGCGCCTGGGTGACTCAGTTGGTTAAGCGTCCAACTCTTGATTTCAGCTCAGGCCATGATCTCAGGGTTATGAGATCAAGCCCCACATCGGGCTCTGCACTGGGCATGGAGCCTGCTTGAGATTCTCTCTCCCCCTCTCCCCCTTTCTCTCTCTCTCTCTCTCTCTGTCTCTCTAATAATAAAAAGAAAGAAATGCTGGTATTCCTGGTCCTTGCTTCAACCTAAAGCCATTTTTTTGTGTGTTTGTTCCTCTAGTGTCTTTAGCCTCAAGCACAGTGGGCTTGGCTGGGCAGGTCGTTCACACAGAAACCACAGAAGTTGTGCTGACAGCAGATCCTGTCACAGGATTTGGGATCCAACTGCAGGGCAGTGTGTTTGCCACGGAGACGCTCACTTCTCCACCTCTGATTTCCTATATTGAAGCTGACAGCCCAGCAGAGAGGTAAGACACTCTTTCACAGCATCTGTTTCTGTGCATTTCTTGTGCCGACTATCTTTGAATAGCTAATAAATTACGGAACAGTGCTCAATGCAGGAAATGCAGGATGTAATGAACTCTCTGTTCAAACAATAAAATGTTATGTTCTTGATAAGTTTTGAGAAGAATAACGAGCACAGATGCTTTATCTAGCAGATTTTTGTCCATCAGGGACTGGCAGCCATATTAATTAAAAGGGAAAATATCTCTGAAGTTCAAACTTTATTATAATAATTTCTCTGCTGTGGGGGGACTGTACATTCACCATTACTATATATTGGTCCAGATCCGATTATAAGAATACCACAGTGCTAAATTATTAATCACTTCTCTGGGATATATCAAGATTCCCTTGCTCACATCTGTAGCCATCAAATGCAAGAGTGCAAGACCTTGCAGTTGACCTAATATGCCCACAGCAGTGAACAAACAAGACCAAATGGGTATGCTATTTCACAAGGATCAAACAAAATAGATTTGGCAATGTCAACTTGATAATTATTTGCTCTGTCTACAACCTCTAATATGTGGTTCTAAATATAGATGTGGGGTGCTACAGATCGGAGACAGAGTGATGGCCATTAATGGGATTCCAACTGAAGACAGCACCTTTGAGGAAGCCAACCAGCTCCTCCGAGACTCTTCAATCACAAGCAAGGTCACACTGGAAATTGAGTTTGATGTTGCAGGTATGATCATATAATCGCAAGTCAGCTGCAGAGATGGTAGTGGAATGCATGTGAATGAAATGGATTATGTGGCAGAAGTGGAACTATATTTTTACATACTGAACACATTTTTGTTTAGGAGATTTGGGATGTCATTTTGTATTGAGCCGTTGTTTTTGAACTATTCATTAAAGTGTCACCATTAAGAACAGTTGAAAATAAATGTGACAAATTGAATAAGTAATAGCTACTATAAAGGTGATAAAAAAATCATGTAGCCTTTATTCTTCCTGATTTGTCCCTATATGCTAGAGAAACCATATTCTTCTGTCACACAGACAAGAAAAGCCTCTATTTGACCCTTCCCACTGCAAAGAACATATGAAAGTTTGTCAGGGAACAAAGAAAATTCATTAGGTGGATTTATACAAACCCAGCAGGTAAATGTTCGTTCTCTAGTGTTAAAAAGAAATTGCACCAGACACTCGTTAAAAACAAGGAAGACTTTTTTCAAGACTATTTAAAGAGAGATCAAGTCTTGGAAGAGGGAAGAGAGATTGAACTCAAGTCCAAAAACAGTAAGGGCAGCCGGGAATTTATGGCCACCAAGCAAGGTAAGGGTGAAGGAATCATGGAATGAAAACTGACTAACAGGAACTTGATTCAATATCAAGGGTGTGGGGATGAGGAATTTGATTGTCTATTCAAGGGTGGAGGGATTCTCAATAAACAGATTTAGCAGGATTCCCACTTAAACTGGGCTCAGCAGGCCAAGGGGAGTAGGCCAAAGACAAGGCCTAGTTGAGAAGAGGAGCCTGACTTAGGTTTGGTCAGGAAGGGAATCCTCGTCAGTGGCTAACAGGTGTGTGGGTTATAGAGGTTGGTGCTAACTTCCATTTAATAAAATTGTCTCCACACAGTGAAATACTACCTCACAGAGCCAATAATCTTTACCAATCATTAAAGATGTGCCTTTGGACATAGAGATTGCATTATCCCAACAAATACTTGCTGAGTGTTTACTATGGGCCCCTTGGAGATGCAGCAGTAGACATGGAAGGAAAAAAAATTCCTTTCTTCATGAAGCTTGTGATATTATAGAAAGCTGATTTTTAAGTTAAATTAAATGTAGGCAGTAATAAGTGCTCCGAGGAAAATAAAGCAGGATGGGGAATTAGAGGATGTCTGTGGGGAGCTATTTTCATGGGATGACTCTTGGAAGAAGTGACATTTGAGCAGAGATTTGAAGGTTGGGAAGGAGCCAGATCTGTGGGAATCTGGGAACAGAGTACTCCAGGTAGAAGGAGCAGCCAGTATAAAAGAAATGAGCCAGAATAATAAGCTGGATGGGTTTGAGAAATAGCAGAAAGGCTCTTACCGGGGCACCTGGGTGGCTCAGCTGGTTAAGCGTCCAATTCCAGATTTCAGCTCAGGTCATGATCTCATAATCATGGGATCAAGCCCCACATCAGGCTCCACACTCAGCGCAGAGTCTGCTTCGGATTCTCTCTTCCCTCTCCTTTTGCGCCTCTCCCCACTCACGCGGGCACACGCACTCTCTCTCTCTCTCTCAAATAAATAAATAAATCTTTAAAGGGGGGGCACTCTTTATGTAGCATAAGGAAGTTGGGGATGAGGATTAGATTTGGAATTGGAGATGGGGTGAGAGAAGTTGGAAGGGGCCAATTACTGCAGTGCCTTGATGTAAAGAATTTACCTTCCAAGTGTAATGATGTCATGGAGCATTGTATGGATGGTAGTGAGCTATCCTGATGGATGTGTTAGAGATCCTTCTGAAATGAGCAGGGACAGTAGCAGAAGCAGAAAACCTAGTTAGGAAGTTGCAGTGGTTGGATAGGTAAACAATGATGGTGGCTTGAACAGGTGGTAGAGCTAGAGATAGTGACAAAGAGTAAAATTTAAGACGTGGCTTGAAGCAGGGCTGACAGACCTTGCTTATGGAATGAATATGGAAGATGAGAGAAAGGGAAGATCATGGACGACTCTTGAGGTGGAAGGGTCAGTAACTGAGTAAATAGAGATGACTTTAAGGAGAGGAAGACTTGAAGAATGGAAATCTGAGGATAACAACAAATTCTGTTTTACACCTGAATTGGCAAATCTACTGCCAATTCGGGGGGGGGGGGGGAAGGACAAGCAGATCCATTCCTGAATTCAAAAGACAATTATCAAGCACCAGTCACTAAATGCTAGGCACTGTGCTACCTTCAGATCTACCTTTAAAGGGAAAATAGAAAGGATTAATATCCTCAAAATCTCAGAACCAATTAGACAAGAGCAAGAACCTGTTGGAAGACAAGAACAGACTTACTGAATGTGTGTTGCCACTGGAATGTAAAAGGAAGTGCCCAGGGGATTGCCAGCAATACCTCCTGGAGCCTGGGATGGGGGGGTCTGGGCCAGAGAGCAGCCCTGAGAAGGGACCACCATGTCAGTGATTGGTAAAGTCATTGGAATACAAGCGAACACTAAGGAACAAGTGGCAGGAAGGAGGGGACTTTGCCTGAGGAGAGACTAAACTAAAATTGAAAGGGGAAGGATGCTAGCAAAGGAGATAATAAAGATGCAGTCTGAGTAGTGGAAGGAGAACCAAAAAAGGTGGCATTTTGGAAGCCAAAGCAAGAATTTCAAGGTCATGGTCAATAGCGTAAAGGTGCTTGAGAATTCAAGTAAAATAAGGCAGGAAAGGTCCACTGCATTTGGCAATTAGGAAAAAACTCATTGCAGAGTAGTTTCAGGGAATTTGGGGGGGCAGAAGTCAGACTATTATAAGCTGAGGGGCGAGGAAAGGGTGGAGAACTACGGACAAGCTATGCTCGCTTTCTGCCAAGGACCTGGGTTTTGGAACAGGGTATGGCTAGACAAATGCAGTGAATGGATAAACAAAATGGAAGCCACTGTGGACTTCTCTTTTTAGAACTGCTCCAGCATTATTACGTACTGGGCACTCTTTTATATTGCTTTATCCTCTAACCAGTGGTTCTCAATCAAAATCAGTTTTGCCCTGGGGAACACGTGGCAATGTTAGGAAGTGTCGCTATGGATGAAAAAGGATGGGGTAAACGATAGAAAGGGCTTCAGAGTCCAGAGGGGAGTTATTTTGTTTGTTGTTTTGTTTTGTTGATATTGGAGAGATCTGAGCATGTTTGCAGCCTGAAGTGAATGAGGGAGAAAAAAGATAATTGATGTAGGTATGGGTCCCAAAAGGGGTAAGAGGGAAAGTTACCTAGAACATAGGTAGGTCTAAGACAGAAGGTTGGCCGCTGCTTCTTGTGAGTTTAAAGAGAAGGATGTGAGAATATAAATACATTTTTATCTGTGTTTAGGGTTTCATGTAAGAACTGTCAAGCAAAGGTAAAAGGTTCAGCATCTTGGGGAGTTGAAAAGAATGATGGTTTAGAATAGCTAAGGGGGAATTGAGTGAGAAAGCTAACCAGACTCCTATAAAGGGATTTCCAAGCTGGGTAGTGGACCAGGCAGAGTCCAGAAGCTCCAAGTGGATAGCCCTGTCAACCTGCATTGGTCAAGTAGTTTTTTTGTCAGGTGACCTCAGCTACCGAGGAATAACAGCAGAGGTGGTAGGTGATTAGACTGAGCCAGAAATGGAGATTTCCGGAGAAGGTTCAACAGGAAGAAAACTAAAGTCACAGCAGTTCAAATTGTTGCAGGAAGAGCAAAGGAATAAATATGGTGATAATCACGATAATATTTATCAAATGCTTGCTCTCTGGCATGTCACTCTTCTAAGCACTGTGTGTGTATTAGCTCACATATAACAGCAATGGAGGTTACTATGATTTACATCCCCAGAAAACTGGGCCTTCTGCCAGATTCGTAGTTAATGGTAGGGCTGGGATTTTCACCCAGGCAGTCTGGCTCCAAAGGCCACACTCTAACCACTAAACATACTGCCTTGAAGGAATCCAGGTTGCAGAGGGGGATGTCAATAATGGATGCACTTGATAGACTGAGAGGAAAGAGAAGACTGAAGGATCTAGGAGTATCTGGAAAGAGAAATGGGTATAGCAAGAGAAAGTTGAGGAGGGAGCCAATGGCCCGAGATTGAGGTCAAAGTGGCATATTAGAGCTTAGCATTTCAGAGGTCAAGTAAGGCTCAGGTAGTGAGCTGCTGAAGTGATACAGAGTGGAGGTGAATATTATTCAACCAGAGGTCTGGGAATTGTAAATGCAGTGTGATGGAAAGACCATGCACACAGTGGAATCTCTCAGGAGGGCAGGACTTGGAATGAGGAAGGGAGTATGAACTTGCTGCTCTTGACACGCCAAACAAAATCCTATCAAAGAATCACCACACTTTCCCCCGCCTGGGTAGCTCTTCCCTACCATGTTCAGGTGGTCTGCTCACCTCATTCAGGTCTTTGCTCAAGTATCACTTGTTCAGAGAATCATTCCCTCACCATCTATCACTCTGTCCCCTTGCCCAGATATATGGTTCTTCTTAGCCTTTCTCAGCTCCGATGTTATGTTGTGGATTTATTTATTGTCTTGTCTTCTCCAGTGGAAAAAAATCTATGTTGTCAGAGACTTTGTGCCTTTTGTTCATGAATGTATCCCAGCACCCAGAAGAGGACTTGGAATGCAGGAGACTCTCAGCCAAGACTTGGTGAATGAATAAATGAATGAATGAATGAAGTGCAGTTGTCTCTCCTGAGGGAACTAGGAACTTCAGTTTGCATCAAGAACTGATCCTGTACCCACTGTTTCTCTAGGGTTCCTGGTCTCTCAGTGCTGCGTGTTTCTGCATATCTGCTCTATTTGTCTTTGCACGAGTTTTTTCTGACTTTTGATTGTACTTGATTGCGCCATCTTTGCTAAAGTGCCCAGCCAGGACCAGCCAGTTCAAGTTTCTAATTCTTAGGTTTGGTAGCTGCGGCCAAGCAGGAATCTGGTAGAAGGACTCTGTAAGGATCAGTCAGATGGTGGCGAGGGTATGGTTTTCAAAGAAGGCTGTCCAGAAGCCCCAGAATGTGCTCACTACA